ACCGGCGCCAGCGCAGCGCACACCCAAGGCAGCCCGCGGCCTGCCGCGCTGCTGCACAGCCGCACGAGAAGCATTTGCCAGCAGGTGCCAGCAGCCAGCAGGTGCCGCCAGCTGCGCTGCCAGCTGGGGGAGGCGAGGAGGAGGAAAGGAGGACAGCAGGCACCTGTACAGGAAGTCCAGCACACAGTCCATCAGCGCTGGGTCCAGCTGCACGTTGACTAGCGACGCCCGCTGCTCCTGGCTTGTCAGCAGCTGCACGGCGGCGTTGGGAGGCGGTCGGCGGCGGTGCGGGGGGTGGGGGGCGTGCCCGGGCGGGCAGTCGCCGCGGGGCAGGAAGCGCGGCGGCGGCGCAGCATGCATGCACCCATCCCCGGCATTGCGGGCGCCAGCTGGGAGCCGCCTTGTAGATCCCGGCTGTGCCGCAAGCGCGGTCGCCAGCCCCGAGCCATCTACACCCCACCTACACCCCAAACCCCACCTACACCCCATCCAGACCCCAGCCTGCAAGGCCCCGGGCCTGCTGGGCCCCCACCTGAGGGATGGACAGCTCCCCGTCTCCCCGCTCCCGCTGCAGGTAGAGCGGGCCCAGGTCTGCCCACGGCACGCACAGCAGGAACTCCAGGAAGCCCGGCGGCGCATTCATGAGGGTGGCGACCGTCAGCGCGGCGCCCGCCACCGCGCGGGCGGCCTCAGGGCCGAGGCCCCCCGCTGGGTTGGCCCCCGGCGGCAGTACCGCACGCAGCGCGGTGGGGAAGAAGTCGTAGAGGATGCCTGCAGGGGGCAGGGGCAGGCCAGGGAGCAGAGGCGGCGGCAGGGGAGGGATGTGAGGGGATGGGTTCCAAGCTGGGAAGCACACGTGCCTGGCAGAGCAGGTGGCGGCGCTGCCGAGGTAGAGGCAGCGGCGCCAGCAGCAGCGGCTGGGCAGCCAAACACGAAACAGCGGAGAGAGGGCAGTCGGCCGCCCCGCGGCCGCCGAGCGAGGCACGCAGCCGAGGCGGCGGGCGGAGCGGCAGCCGCAGCGCACCTTCTGTCAGCTCCTTGATGCGCCGGTCCTCCCGATCGATGTGCTGCTGCAGCTTCTGCTGCAGCGGCTGCAGGCCGCCGCCGGCGCTGGCGCCGCTGCGGCTGCTGGCGCGGCTGCGGGGCCTGCGGTCGGCGCGGCAGGGGCAAGGCACGGCCGCGGTCGGCAAAGGGTCTTGCCGGCACCTCCAGCATCCAGAGCAGCTGCCGGGCGATGTGGGGCTGGCTAGCATAAACTCAAGCCGCACTCCACCAGGCCACACTGATGCGCCGCGGCGGCGCACTGCATCCCACTGCCCTCAACCCCGTCTGTTCCGCCCGTTCCTGCAGACAGCCCACCACAAGGCAGCCCACACAGCAGCTTCCCCCGGTGCGCCCACCTTGTGCTGGCAGGTCCTGAGCGGAGCACAGCAGCGGGCGTGGGGGCGGTGCTGCCGGGCGCGGCGGCGGTGCCGTTCCCGACGCCGCTACCGCCGCCGCTGCCCGCTCCTCCTCCCCCTGGCTGCATGGGCGTCTCCTTTAGCACCATCTCGTGTGTACACCCATGCCAGGCACCTGCACTGCAGGGGAGGCGGTTTTCGATCAGGCGGTGCACCCCTGAGCGGGTGGCCGAGTCACTCTGCGTCGGTTGTGCTGTCTTGCATGCAATGCACGTGGAAATTGCAGCGTCCCGGCGCGTGTAGCACGGCTTGCCAGGCACTTGCCGCCGGGCCGGCAAGGTTCGGGGCCCCTTGCGGGCCCACAGCACCTCAGATTAGGCTTCGAGCTGCCGCCGTGCCCTCCGTTTATATTCTGGGGTCTCTCTGCTCCAGCAAAGCCACTTGGCGGGCACCCCTGGCCTGTCCAGAACCCTCGGCCCTCGCGGCGCCTTGCTGTTGCAATGTGCGATGGTATGGATCGCTACGACGCCACGGGGACGCACCAGTAGGCCCCACCCAGCCCTGGCTCTGTACAGCAATACAGCTACAAGCGATGGGGCTGGCTAGCAATGCTGCTGATCGCTCCGGAGCGCATCACCACCCGTGGATGTCCTTGCCTGACACCTCCACCTCTGTGTTGCGTTCGCTCGTCTCGCACCTGCGGGCCTGGTCTTGGGGACGCAGCGACGCGGCAGGGATGACTGAGAGGCACGATGAGCTGAATCGCATACTCAGCGGCGCGGACGAGCAGGGGCCCAGCAGCAGTCAACAAGCAGACGGCCAGGGCAACGCCGATGACCAGCAGCAGCGCTTGTATGGTGAGTGGTGGACCTGCGGGGCTGCCTGGGCCCGCCAGCAGGCCTGCATGGGCCGCGCCGGCCGCCGCCGCCCGCCGCCGCCGCTGCCGCCACGCCCGGCACTCGCTACCTGCCCCACGTCACCCCTGACCCCCACACCCCGCGCCCCATGCGCAGAGGAGCACGCCGGGCGGGTGAGGGCGGAGGCGGAGGCGGAGGCGGCGGCGCGGCGGCTGCAGGTGGCGCAGGAGCAGTGGGGAGAGTACCTGGGGCAGAAGGAGGGCGACGCGGCGGCGCTGCTGGCGCGCGCCCAGCAGCTGCAGGCGCTGGTGGGGCAGCTGGCGGGGGTGGCCGGCGGCGCCGACGCGGGCGCGGTGATGGCGGCGGCAGAGATGGGCAAGCTGGTGGAGGAGCTTGAGGTGGCGGCCACCGAGGCGCGCGCCTCTGCCGCACAGCTCAAGGCTGAGGCGGAGCGCGGCAAGCGCTCCTCCGCGCAGGTGCGCCCGCGGCCAGCAGCTCCCGGCCTGAACCGGAAAGCGTGCCTGCTGTGGAACGGAGACGTGGCAAGGGTCCGGCAGCGCGCCCCACACAGCCGGCGCGCTTGCAGCCGAGCGCCGGCGCCGGCGCCGCTGGTCGCCCACCCTGCCGCCGGCCAGCCGGCTGCCTGCCTGCCTGCCGCCAAACCATAATGCCGCTGCTGCTGCCCCTGCCGCCCCTGCGCCGTCCTTGCAGGCTAACCTAGAGTCGGATGGCGACGTGGAGATGAAGCGGCTGCGGGAGGACGGCGGCGGCCGCAGCGCCAGCGGCGGCAGCAGCGAGGGCGAGGACGACGAGGAGGCGGCGGCCGCCGGCGGCGCCGGCGCGGCGCAGCAGGGCCAGCAGGCAGCGCTGATCGGGCCGCAGCTGCCGCCGGGGGCGGCGGGGGCGGCCATGGCGGCGCAGGCCGCGGCAGAGTATGCCCACGACAGCTTCCGGGAGCGGGCCAAGTTCATCCCGCTGCGCCTGGGCACAGAGGAGCGGCGCCTGCTGCGCCTGCTGGAGGCAGCACTCACCGTCAGCGAGTACACAGGTGCGCTGGGCTGGGCGGGCGGCAGCAGGTGGCGGCCCTCGCGGCGGCTCGCCTCCTGCCCGCGGGGCTGCTGGCCAGCTGGGGTCACCTGCACAGGGCAGCCAGCGTGCCGCCTGTCGGCCCCAACCTTCCTTGCAAGAAAGGACCTGCTGCCGCCGGCCTGGCGCCGGCCTGGCGCCGCCTGCTTGCCCTCCCGCAGACAAGGTGGATGTGATGAGCTGGCGCAAGAAGAGCGGGCGGGTGCATGCCCAGATCCGGGACATGTGCGCCATTCTGTGCGGCCTGGTGGTGGCGCAGGTGGGCTGTGGGATTATGGTGGGAGTGTGGGGCTGCGGGGGTTTGCATTGTGGGCATGCCGGGGTGCCGGCGGGGCGCTAGATTGCGTGGTGCCGGGGCAGCTGGGCGGGAGGGCACCGTGGTGGGCGTGTGGTGGGCGTGTGGGAGTGTGTGGGGGAGGTGGGTCATGACGACCTTTCCTTCCCGGCCCCGCCCTCCTCTCCCTGTTCCCGCAGGACTTCCGCCGCGGCCAGCAGCTGATCACCGAGCGCAACTTCTCCGACCTGCGCCAGTTCTTCCAGGCGCGCCCCCCGCCTGCCCCTGCCTGCCTGCCTGCCTGCCTGCCTGCCTGTATGGCTGCCTGCATGGCTGCCTGCCTGCCTGGGTTGTGTGCAGCCACGCCTGCCTGTACTCCTGCCTGTGTGTGCCACGCCGCCTGCCCGCCTGCCTGCGCTGCTGTGCTGCCGTCGCCTCCGCCCGCCAGCCGGCGCCGTGCCTGTGCCGCAATGGCGGCGTGTGCGGCCTTTTTCTGCCCTTGCAGGACTGCTTCGAGGTGGGGCGTCGCCACAAGATCATGAACCCCGAAAAGGTGGGCCTGCTGGCTGCCGTGCCGCCGCCTGCCTGGCGACTCGTTAACCTGATTTTAAAAGCCGGCTTTTTCCCCCGTATCCCGTGTTTTCCTGCGTTTGCTCGAATGTTTTGCTGCCAACGACGGCTCCCCGCAGATGCGCGACACGTACGGCAAGCTGATGTACCTGTTGCAAGACAGCTGCGAGGGCGAGATCCAGGAGCTGCTGGAGTTCAAGTGAGCGGCGCCGCGAGGCAGCAGGGCTGCGTGGCGGCAGCTGGATTGGTGTTATCCCCCCTGTGGTTGCACGGCTGGCCGCCCGGCGTGTGGCGTGCCTCCGCCCCGCCTGCGTGCCGCCTGCCGACCGCCGACCCTGAGGCCCGCGGCCGCGCCCTGCCCCCGCCAGGTGCGTGCGCCCGCTGCGCACGGTGCACGCGCTTCTGGAGGAGCGAGGCGCGCTGGCTCTGCTGGATGACCCGCTCATGGAAGCTGCTACAGCGGAGATTGTGGCTGCGGGGGTGCCGCGCCACGAGGTGCAGAAACGCATCAAGGTGGGCGGCGGCTGGTGGCGGGGTGGGGTGGGGTGGGGTGGAGGCCGGGCGAGGCGCACCGGCTGCCGGCTGGCGTTGTCCCGGCGTTGTCCCGCCGCACGGTCCCGCCCGGCGTTGTTCCCGCCACGTTTGACCGGTCCACCCACCCGTGCGACCCACCCCACCCACCCCATTACCTGCCCGCCCCTCCGTTCCTGCCTGCAGGTCAAGGAGCGGGCGCGTGAGCAGCTGTCCCGCAAGTACCGCAGCCGCGGCCTGAGCGAGGAGGAGATCCTGCACTGCCTCTACTCCATCTCAGACAACAATTCCTACTTGCTGTTCAACCGCGACCCCATAGACAGGTGAGGACCGGCGAGGGCCTGCTGGTGTGGGGGGTGGTGCGTGTGTTGTGCGGTGAACAGTGCGCATGTGCATGCTCCGCTGCCGCTCCACACACTGCACCCCTGCCACGGGCGCCCGCAGGATGATTGCCTACCTGCAATCCTACTTCCTTCCCGGCTCCTACGAGCCCGGCTACAGCCTGGCGATCCAGGTGGGTACCGAGGGGCAAGCCAGGCTGCCACGTGCCGCTTACAGCAGCATGCATGGGCCCCAAGCTCAGCCAGGGCCCCAGCCCCGCCGCTTGCCCTCGTACACACACACACACCCGCCCCACCACCACAACAACAACGCCCTCTCCCCCCCCCCACGCCACCCCGTCGCTGGCACAGGGCGGCAGCCAGGGCGCGCGGCTGACGCACAGCCACGAGCGGCAGTACACGTACGTACTGCAGAGCCTCACGCTTTGGCGGGAGATCAGCCACGAGGTGCGGCGCCAGGGTGGGGGGGTGCGGTGGGCGCCAGGGGCCGCCTGGCGTGGGCTGTGCGATTGGTGCGGGCAGGCAGCCTGCCCACCCCGCCTGTTGCTATCACACCCTCCCCTCTCGTCACTTCCGCCACCACCACACCCCACACACGCTCCCCTGGCTCATGCCTTCACCACCACCACGCTCACACACACACGCACACGCACACTCGCGCGCGTCCCACATCCCGAGCGCCCTCCATCACCACCATACTCGCACCGCGGTATCCCACGTCGTGGTATCCCACGCCCCGGTGTCCCATGCCCCCGCAGATGTTCAAGCTCTGGTACCTCGCCGACTGCGACCTGCTGCACGAGCGCAACCGCTACACGCTGCAGAACACGGGGCAAGGGATGAACCGCGTGCAGGGCGCGCCGCACGGTGCGCCGCAGGGCTGAGGGGGGTGGGAGGGGTGGGGGTGGGGGCGGGGGCCAGGGGAGCGTGTGTGGGGTGTGGTGGTGGCGGAAG